GGAATTCCCACCTGGGCTGTGGCTGTGGCTGCTGGAGGTTGAAGAGGAGGGCGGGGACGATTTTCTCCATGTGCCCAAAAAAATCCTCAAAAAATCCCCTCAAAATTCCCAAAAAATCCGCCAAAAATCCTGAAATACCCTCCAAAAATTCCCAAAAAATCCACAATAAATCCCAAAAAAATTCCCCTCAAAATCCCCCAAAAATCACCAAAAATCCCCCAATAAAATTCCCAAAAATCAAAAAAAATACCCAAAAAATCCTCAAAAATTCCAAAAAAATCCCCCAAAAAATCCCAAAAAAATCCCAAAAATTCCCAAAAATTCCCCGGAATTCCCGGAATTCCCACCTGGGCTGTGGCTGTGGCTGCTGGAGGTTGAAGAGGAGGGCGGGGACGATTTTCTCCATGTGCTGCGGTTCCCAGATGTTGGCCTGGAGCTCGTCCTGCACCGTCTTGCGCACGACGCCCTGGAGCCCCCGGATCCCCGACATCCGGATCCTGCCGGAGCCAAAATCCCGGGATTCCGCAGCCGGATTTGGATCCGGGAGTTCTGGGAACTCTGGGAATTCCTAAATCCTTTCCCCGTCCCAAAAATCCCTGGATTTCCTGCTCCGATCAGCTGGAAAATTTCCCTGCAGTTCCTGGCTCTGGCCAGGATTCCCGGAATTCCATGGGAAAGTCTGGATAGGGATGTGCTGAGGGATCGGGAATTCTGGGAATTCTGGGAATTCTGCCTCTTTTCCTTATCCCAAATCCTTTCCCCATCCCAAAATCCCCGGATTTCCTGCTCCGATCCATGGAATCAGCCGGAAAATTTCACCAGGAATTCCCAGCTCTAGACAGAATTCCCAGAATTCCATGGGAAAGTCTGGACAGGGACGGGCTGAAGGATTGGGAATTCTGGGAATTCTCCCTCCTTTCCCGATCCCAAAATCCCAGCATTTCCTGCTCCAATCCATGGAACCAGCTGGAAAATTTCCCCAGAATTCCCATTTTTTCCCTTTTTTCCCGTTTTTCACTTTTTTTTCCCTGATTTTCCCCCCTTTTTTCCCATTTTTCCCCCTTTTTCCTCCTTTTCCACCCTTTTTTTTTCCCAGTTCATTTTCCCTTTTTTCCCCATTTCCCCCCTTTTCCCCATTTCCTGCATTTTCCCATTGTTTCCCCATTGTTTCCCTGTTGTTTTCCCGTTGTTTTCCCATTGTTTCTCCATCGTTTTCCGGCCATTTTCCCCTTGTTTTCCCAGCCGTTTCCCATTATTTTTCCGTTGTTTTCCCATTGTTTCCCCGTTGTTTCCCAGCGGTTCCCCTGTTGTTTCCCATTGTTTCCCCGTTGTTTCCCGGCTGTTTCCCATTGTTTCCCCGTTGTTTCCAGCGGTTTCCCTGTTGTTTCCCATTGTTTCCCCATTGTTTTCCGGCCATTTTCTCTTTGTTTTCCCATTGTTTTCTCATTGTTTTCCCTGTTGTTTCCCTTTGTTTTCCCATTGTTTTCCCATTGTTTCCCTGTTGTTTCCCATTGTTTCCCAGTGGTTTCCCGTTGTTTCCCATTGTTTTCCCATTGTTCTCCCATTGTTTCCCTGTTATTTCCCATCATTCCCCATTGTTTCCCAGCGGTTCCCCGTTGTTTCCTATTGTTTTCCCATTGTTTCCCTATTGTTTTCCCATTGCTTCCCACTTGTTTTCCCATTGTTTCCCCATTGTTTCCCCATTGTTTCCCCATTGTTTCCCCATTGTTTCCCCATTGTTTCCCCATTGTTTCCCCATTGTTTCCCCATTGTTTCCCCATTGTTTCCCCATTGTTTCCCCATTGTTTCCCCATTGTTTCCCCATTGTTTCCCCATTGTTTCCCCATTGTTTCCCCATTGTTTCCCCATTGTTTCCCCATTGTTTCCCCATTGTTTCCCCATTGTTTCCCCATTGTTTCCCCATTGTTTCCCCATTGTTTCCCCATTGTTTCCCCATTGTTTCCCCATTGTTTCCCCATTGTTTCCCCATTGTTTCCCCATTGTTTTCCCATTGTTTTCCCATTGTTCTCCCATTGTTTCCCCGTTATTTCCCATCGTTCCCCATTGTTTCCCAGCGGTTCCCCCTTGTTTCCCATTGTTTTCCCATTGTTTCCCCATTGTTTCCCCCTTGTTTTCCCATTGTTCTCCCATTGGTTCCCCATTATTTCCCATTGTTCCCCATTGATTGCCCCATTGATTTCCCCATTGTTTCCCCCTTGTTTTCCCATTGTTCTCCCATTGGTTCCCCATTATTTCCCATTGTTCCCCATTGATTGCCCCATTGATTTCCCCATTGTTTCCCCCTTGTTTTCCCATTGTTCTCCCATTGGTTCCCCATTATTTCCCATTGTTCCCCATTGATTGCCCCATTGATTTCCCCATTGTTTCCCCCTTGTTTTCCCATTGTTCTCCCATTGGTTCCCCATTATTTCCCATTGTTCCCCATTGATTGCCCCATTGATTTCCCCATTGTTTCCCCCTTGTTTTCCCATTGTTCTCCCATTGGTTCCCCATTATTTCCCATTGTTCCCCATTGATTGCCCCATTGATTTCCCCATTGTTTCCCCCTTGTTTTCCCATTGTTCTCCCATTGGTTCCCCATTATTTCCCATTGTTCCCCATTGATTGCCCCATTGATTTCCCCATTGTTTCCCCCTTGTTTTCCCATTGTTCTCCCATTGTTTCCCCGTTATTTCCCATCGTTCCCCATTGTTTCCCAGCGGTTCCCCCTTGTTTCCCATTGTTTTCCCATTGTTTCCCTTTGTTTCCCATTGTTTCCCCGTTGTTTTCCAATTGTTTCCCCCTTGTTTTCCCATTGTTCTCCCATTGTTTCCCCATTATTTCCCATTGTTCCCCATTGATTTCCCCATTGATTTCCCCATTGTTTCCCCCTTGTTTTCCCATTGTTTCCCCATTGTTTTCCCATTGTTCCACATTGCTTTCCCATTGTTTTCCCATTGTTTCCACCTTGTTCTCCCATTGTTCTCCCATTGTTTTCCCATTGTTCTCCCATTGTTCCCCATTGTTCCCCATTGTTCCCCATTGTTTCCCATTGTTTTCCCATTGTTTCCCCATTGTTTTCCAATTGTTTCCCCCTTGTTCTCCCATTGTTCTCCCATTGTTTTCTGGCCATTTTCCGACCATTTTCCCATTGTTTTCCCAGCCGTTTCCCATTATTTTTCCATTCTTTCCCCATGGTTTCCCCATTGTTTTCCAATTGCTTCCCCCTTGTTTTCCCATTGTTTCCCAGTGGTTCCCCGTTGTTTCCCATTGTTTTCCCATTGTTTCCCATTGTTTTCCCATTGTTTCCCATTGTTTTCGCATTGTTTCCCAAGTGTTTTCCCATTGCTTCCCACTTGTTTTCCCATTGTTTCCCCATTGTTTTCCGGCCATTTTCCAGCCATTTTCCCATTATTTTCCCAGCCATTTTCCATTATTTTTCCATTCTTTTCCCATTGTTTTCCCATTGTTTCCCTTTGTTTCCCATTGTTTCCCAATTGTTTTCCCATTGTTTTCCCAGCTGTTTCCCTTTGTTTTCCCATTGTTCCCCGTTGTTTCCCAGTGGTTTTCCAGTGGTTTCCCATTGTTTCCCCATTGTTTTCCCATTGTTTTCCCATTGTTTTCCCTGTTCTTTCCCATTGTTTTCCCATTGTTTTCCCCATTGTTTCCCATTGTTTCCCCGTTGTTTCCCATTGTTTCCCCATTGTTTTCCCATTGTTTTCCCATTGTTTTCCCTGTTCTTTCCCATTGTTTTCCCATTGTTTTCCCCGTTGTTTCCCATTATTTTTCCATTCTTTCCCCATGGTTTCCCCATTGTTTTCCAATTGCTTCCCCCTTGTTTTCCCATTGTTTCCCATTGTTTCCCCCTTGTTTCCCATTGTTTCCCCATTGTTTTCCCATTGTTTCCCTTTGTTTTCCCTGTTTTTTCCCTGCTGTTTCCCACTGTTTCCCATTGTTTCCCCCATTGTTTCCCAGCGGTTTCCCACTGTTTTCCCATTGTTTCCCCGTTGTTTCCCATTGTTTCCCCCGTTGTTTCCCCCGTTGTTTCCCGCTGTTTTCCCGGCGGTTTTTCCCGGCTCCGACCTGGCGCGCACGTCGGGGTCGGCGTGGCCGGAGTGGCACATCTCGCTGAAGCGCGACACGAAGAAGTCGTAGCTGCGGTGGTACGAGGGCGTGTCCTCCTCAATGTTGGCAAACTTCACAAACTGAACGGGAAAACCGGAAAAAAAAAGCTGGGAAAAACACCCAGAATCGGGAATTCCGAGGGTTTTTTCCCTGGGAAAAAATCGCTGGGAAAATCGCCCCAAAATCTCCTGGAGTTCTGCCTGAAATCCCGCCAGGAATTGGGAATTTTGAGGAATTTTTTGGGAAAAGATTGCCAGGAAAATTCACCCCCAAAATCACCAGGAATTCTGCCCTAAATTGGGAATTTTGAGGGGTTTTTTGGGAAAAAATTGCCAGAAAAATTGTCCCAAAAAATCATCTGGAATTCCACCCTAAATTGGGAATTTTGAGATTTTTTGGGGGGGAAAAAATGCCAGAAAAATCACTGGAAAAATTGTCCCAAAAATCACCAGGAATTCTGCCCTAAATTGGGAATTTTGAGAATTTTTTGGGGGAAAAATTGGTGGGAAAATCACCCAGAAAAGTGCCTGGAATTCTGCCCGAAATCCTGCCAGGAATTGGGAATTTTGAGGGTTTTTTTGGGAAAAAAATTGCCCCAAAAACTCCTGGAATTCCTCTCAAAATCCTGCTGGAAATCCCACCCGGAATTGGGAATTTTGAAGGTTTTTTGGGGAAAAAATCATGGGGAAAATTGCCCCAAAAAACATCTGGAATTCCACCCAAAATCCCACCCAGAATTGGGAATTTTGAGGAATTTTTTGGGAAAAAATTCCCAGGAAAATTCACCCCAAATTTTGCCTGGAATTCTGCACTAAATTGGGAATTTTGAGGGGTTTTTTGGGAAAAAAAATGCCAGAAAAATCGCTGGAAAAAATATCCCAAAAATATCTTGGAATTCCACAGTAAATTGGGAATTTTGGGGGATTTTGGATCAGCAGATCCCGGGGATTGAGCTGCTCCGCTTTCCCAGACGGTTTTCCTTGGAATTCTGCCACTTTTCCCAAAATTCCCAGTTTTTCCAGCCAGTTTTCCTTGGAATTCCACCACTTTTTCCTAGATTCCCAGTTTTTCATTGGAGTTCCATCCTTTTCCTGGAATATTCCCAGATCTCCAGTCAATTTCCCTTGGATTTCCACCACTTTTCCCAATGTTCCCACAGCCTTCCCAGCTAATTTTCCTTGGAATTCCACAACTTTTCTGGAATATCCCCAGATTTTCCAGCCAGTTTTCCTTGGAATTCTGCAACTCTTCCCAAAAATCCCAGAGCTTTCCCAGCCAGTTTTCCTTGAAATTCCAGAACTTCCCTGGAATATTCCCAGATCTCCAGCCAGTTTTCCTAGATTTTCCAGACAGTTTTCCTTGGAATTCTGCCACTTCCCTGGAACATTCCCAGATCTCCAGCCAATTTTCCTTGGATTTCCACCACTTTTCCTAAAAACCCCTCAGCTTTCCCAGCCAGTTTCCCTTGGAATTCCACAACTTTCCTGGAATATTCCCAGAGCCTTTCCCACCCCATTTCCCTTGGAATTCCACCCTTCCCCCCAAACCCCCCCATCCCTTCATTCCCCCAAATAAAACCCCCCTTAAAAAAAAAAAAAAAAAAAAAAAAAAAAACCAAAAACCCAACCACATTTTGCCTCAGTTTCCCCTGGGAATTCCGTCGGGATTTTTCCCCGGGATGGGAATTTTTCCCCGGGATTTTTCCCGGCACTCACGGAGTTGGTTCCCAGGATTTGGAGGTCGGGCTTTTCCGACTCCAGGAGTTTGGCCACCATGGTGAGGAAGCTCTGGACGAAGAGGTTGATGCTCTGGCAGTGGCAGGCCAGCAGCAGCTGGTCCAGCGCCTCCATGGCCACGCACACCGAGCTGAGACCCCGCAGGGTGGGAGGGAAAAACAGCCCGGATCGCACCCGGAATTGTGCCGGAATGGGAGGGAAATGTGAGGGAATTGTTGGGGAATTAGCAGGGAATTGTCAGGGAATTATTGGTGAATTATTAGGGAGTTATTGGGGAATTATTGGGGAATTATTGGGGAATTATTCTGGAATTATCGGGGAATTATTCTGGAATTATTGGGGAATTATCAGGGAATTATTGGGGAATTATTGGGGAAATAATCAAGAATTATTGGGAAATTATTGGGGAATTATTTGGGAATTATTGGGAATTATTGGGGAATTATTAGGGCATTATTGGGAATTATTGGGGAATTATTAGGAAATTATTGGGGTATTATTGGGGAATTATTAGGGAATTATTCGGGAATTATTGGTGAATTATTCTGGAATTATTGGGGAATTATCAGGGAATTATTGGGGAATTATTGGGGAATTATCGGGGAATTATCAGAAATTATCAAGAATTATTGGGGAATTATTCAGGAATTAGCCTGGAATTGTTGGTGAATTATTCTGGAATTATTGGGGAAATAATCAGGAATTATTGGGGATTACTGGGGAATTATTAGGGAAATAATTGGGAATTATTGGGGAATTGTTTGGGAATTACTGGGAAAACAATCAGGAATTACTGAGGAATTATTGGGGAATTATTTGGGAACTACTCGGGAATTATTGGGAAATTGACCCGGAATTATCGGGGAATTCTTGGGGAATTAACCTGGAATTATCAGGGAATTATTGGGGAATTGTGGGGGAATTGTTGGGGAATTGTCGGGGAATTATTAGGGAATTATTTGGGAATTATTGGGGAATTATTGGGGAATTATTGGGGAAATAATCAGGAATCATCGGGGAATTATTGAGGAATTAACCTGGAACTAACCTGGAATTATTGGGGAATTATTGGGGAATTATCGGGGAATTATTGGGGAATTATCAGGGAATTATTGGGGAATTATTCGAGAATTATTGGGGAATTATTAGGGAATTATCAGGGAATTATTGGGAAATTAACCTGGAATTATTGGGGAATTATTCGAGAATTATTGGGGAATTATTGGGGAATTATTCAGGAATTATTCTGGAATTATTCAGGAATTATTTGGGAATTTTTCTGGAATTATTGGGAAATTATTAGGGAAATTATTAGGGAAATATTCCGGAATTATTCTGGAATTAGCGAAGAAATTTCCCTGGGAAAAGGGGGAGAAATTTGAGGATTGAGAAGGAATTCCTTGGGAAAATGGGGAGGAATTTGAGAAGGAATTTCCCTGGTGGGAAAAAAGGGAGGAATTTGGGATTTGGGATGGAATTTCCCTGGGAAAAAAATGTTGGGATTGGGATAGAATTCCCTGGGAAAATGGGAATTTGGGAAGAATTTGGGAAGGAAATATTTGGGATATGGATCTGGGATGGGGATCCGGGATTTGGATCCAGGATATGGATAAGGAATTCCCTGGGAAAAGGGTGAGAAGTTTGGGAATTCCCTTGGGAAAGGGGGGATAAATCCGGGATTTGTCGGACCCGTATCGGTGTCAGACGATGTCGAGGATCCCGGGATGGGGATTTGGGATGGGGATTTGGGATGGGGATTTGGGAT